GGGGGGGCGGAGGGCGGGAAACACTGAACCTGAGAGGAAGAGAGCGAGAACTCTGAGCCGAGGAGTCGAGAACTGAGAGCAGCTGCAGAAGATTTTTAAATAAAGCTGAATAAAAGAGGAAGTGAGCTCTGATGATCAGGCGAGCTCCAAGAAATCAGAACGAGACAAAAAGAGAAAGTTTGAATCGTTGAGATGAAGCTGCCGTTTCTCCTCTGCTTCCTCGGTGAGTTCATCTCAGCCGTTTGCTCTCAGCTTTATTTCATTTGAGCTCTGAGAGTTTTTACTACGATAGCTGAAACACACAGTTTAATTTGCATTTTACTAAAAATGAACTTTGCACAAACTGCGATTGAGCCGTCTGGACGTTGAAGCACTAAATTTAGTTCTGAATGTGTCCGGATGATCTGAAGGTTCATCTGAGGATGGATCCCCACACGTGCAGGAAGTCATTTGAATCGTGCAAACGTCACAATAAACTTTTTACTTAAACAAAACGATCATTTTATTCTATTTTTGAACATGCAAATCGAAATGTGCAGTGCCCCAGTATAAAGGTGAACGGGCCCAGTTTAATGAGCAGAGCTGACGGATGGGAGGCTCCGCTTGTTCTCGCATTAAACAGGTTCTTTCTTTCCTGTTTTGTCTTTCTGTCTTAGCTTTAGTGAGTTCTTCTGCTGCGAGAGGAGAGCCTGCAACGGATGCTCCAGGTCCTGAAGGTAACAACAAACCTTCAACAGTCACTTACATCCATGGACTAACGCCGACATCCTTCATGTTGTTTAGTTGAACTCTGAGGCCATTTTTGAACCAGAACAAACATGAGCTGCTTTACTGTCACTTTGAGTCTAAACTGGGCTACAATCTGCAAAATAACTTTATAGAATTATAAAATAAAACAATTCTGCGCGACATCAAATGGGTGAGTTGTAAAGTGTTTCCTCCAGTTGTTTTACAGATGTATGGAAATGCAATTCTGAAATGCAGGTACGCACTCAACGTAAACAAAGCACTCCGGTAAATTTAAGCCGTCCTAAAATGGATTTAATACAAATGTATCTCAAATATATTTAAATTTTGATTGTTTTAAAAACTTATCTGCATACTTTACTTAACAAATTTGAGTATAAATACACTCCAAACTGTCAGACTCCTCTTCTTTCTGACCCGTTTTCAGTCACTTCGGCTGTTTCCGAAGGTAAACAAACACCGGTGGTAGTTGACGGTCGTTCGCAAATTTTGTTTACAGTTTTAAATTTAAGGACATAATAACAAATATTGTACAGATTTTGTTTTTACTTTATGATTTTTGTTTGTCTTCATGGCATTGCGATCGCAGAGGTCGCCCCCTGCTGGCCCTTAGAAGAATATAACGTTAACCTTTGTATCGTCTTTTGGACTGAAACTGGCCGCACATTTAGATTTATCTGAGCTTTTATTTATTTATTTATCTTGCTGCAGCAAATAAATTGATTTTTTTCTGTAAATTCTGCCACTTTTAAAAATGCTCTCCTAAACTTAACTTTACTAAACTCTCGTGTTTGTGGAAAAATCAGCCAGATTAGAATACACGGTAAAAACAAATTTTAATCCCATATTTATTACGTAAAGTAACGCATTCCTCTCAGAAATTATTTTTTCTTCTTACTTTAACAACTAAACTTTTGATTTTTATATTATCCCACTAGATGGCGCTCTGCTGTGTATACTTGAGAGCCTCAGAAAACATTTACGGAGACGTAAAGACGGTGGCAGCAGCAACTCATGAAGAATCACTCACGTGTGGAACGTGGCCTCCTGAACAGAAGGAGATACATGTATCCCACATGTATCTCTACATGTATTTATATTTATCCAATGTCAAATAATTCTACTGAAGAAGTAGATAGGACTTCTTCGTTGTGTTTTTTTCCTCTTGGAAGTAGGTTAGTCGGATGTTTATAGGGGCTGGCATGGTGGAGCAGTGGTTAGGTCGTAGGATCGTCTCCTGGCCTTTGTGGAGTTTGCATGTTCTCTCCGTGCATGCGTGGGTTTTCTCCGGGTGCTCCGGTTTCCTCCCACAGACCAAACACATGCATGTTAGCCTGACTAAACTCTAAATTGTCCCTGTAGGTGAGAGAGAGCGAATGAAAAGTTGTTTGTCTCGTTTGTCTCCACGTGTCCCTATGATGGACTGGAGACCTGTCCAGGGTGTCCCCTGCCTTGCACACAGTGACAGTGTCAATGGTGGAGGACACCCTGGACCAATGGCTACGGATGGATGGATATTATCAACCGATGTTCAATCATAAAACAATTTGCTCAGTTTCTAAAATGTCCAACGCTGTCCCAATATTTTGACCTAATATTTTCCATTTTAATCTCAACATTTTTATTCTGTAACATACTGGTATATCCTGCCCTGGATTTGTTCTTCAAGTGTTTCAGTTCCACAGTTCTTGTAGAAGTGTAGACCCAGTTCTACTACCTTTATTTTGTATTATTCAGTCGTGTTTCGTCTGATTCTTTCCTGACGCGTCCCGTTCCAGCCTTCTGGCCTGAATGTCACCTCCTGCTCTTTGTTGTACCATTTTGTCTTGTTAATGTCGCCTTTAGCTAAACTAAACCAAACCTTGTGTGACAGTTTGACTTTGGTTACCAGTTCTTAATCACTTCCTGTTTCTGTTTCATTCATAGACGATGTTTCTGTCGACCAAGGACACAACAAAGCAACAGTTTCTCCAAATAATGGGGATTATAATCCAAATCAAACAGGTAACATAATCAATTAACGTGTTTTTACCACCACATTATAACTGCTGCGTTATTTTGATAACTCGGCTGCTGGGTTAAAGCAGCTAGATCACAGGTTGGGTTGGTATGACCGAGTATTGGATCAAAATGTTTGACTCAGTGGTTCAGTTAGAGATATGATCTTCATCCATAGTGGACCAAACTGAACCAGGCTAGACCTCTGGTTTCAGATGTAATAAGTAAAAATAAGACAGTTAAAACAACTTCTAAGAAGATACTCACCCTGGTTGTTTTACTTTTAATTTGCAGTAATGTTATTTGGTGTTAGCTAGCTGATGCTAATAGCAGTTAGCGCCAGCTACCTAGTACAAGTAAACAGCTAATAATAACCCAGATTAACAGAACATTTTAGTAGCTCTAATTAGTAATTTTAGCTCACAGGTCAGCAAACTTAACAAGCATCTTGAGACAAACTCTTTTTAACCCATTAATGTTTTATTCCTCACTCGCTCTCATACGAGGCGGACACATTCTCTTCCCTCTCCTGTTCTCCTCCTGCTTTTGTTGCTCTCTGTTTGTGCATCGGAGCTCCTATTTTACACATATTCTGAAACTAAAACTATTGTCATGGATCTGATCAGCTGGACTTCAGCGCAATCGACAAAATCTTTTCAACAAAGCGACAGGGTCCTGGAGAGCCCTCATGTCCCGCGGAGAATCTCAGGAGGACGCCGAAGTCATATACAATTGCATTTATGATAACAGATTTCCTGCTTTTTGGAATTGGCAGGTTCCTGCTCTGTCAACATACAAAGAAGACAGCTGCAGCTAATTTGGCCCTCGTCAGGCTGCCCGCCTTGTGAAGGTTTAGTTCGTGCTTTGAGGACTCAAAATCAGCTGATTTACAAGCTAAACTGTAAGATGGATGTGATTGTGAGAATTGCAGGCCACCTACAGCTTTGGGACTTTCCAGTATGTTGGAAACGACCTTGGAGGGGCTCCTAAGCACGGACCAGTAGAATGCCCACTAATCTAGCCATTTTTGATCTTGAAAGTACCAGTAGGACTCAAGGCTGAGAAGAAAAAACAGTCTGCCTGAAAAATCAACAATTTTGGATTATCTGAATCCGACTCCCCTGGTTGACCTCAAAAACAGGCAGACATCAATTTCTCCTGGTAAATGCTTCATCTATTGCAAACCCCCACTTCTGTGGAGGCTTATCAGAACTGTGCCGGCTAACCAACATCTTATCAGGACAATGGACTATCTGGAAGTGCTTCATGGACCGCCTTGCCATCAGATGCATATGTAACGTGTTCATAAATGTGCTGCTGGTAGAGTTGTTTGATGTCTTAAATCGTGTCCTGATAGGACAAGGTGTGAAGAGATATTTCTTGTAATACCACTATCCTGTCCTCATGGCTTTTCCCCTTTTCTATCTTAAAACGTATTTTACAAAAGGATAAGGGGCCGCGCTATCATAGCAGCAGCAAGGTGCACTCCGCCCATCTTTCGGACGACTGTACGAACATAATCTCGCTGTATCTCGGTGCAATGATAATAAAGCTTATTCTGATTGATTCTGAATCTGTATCCTTCTTCTGGAAACATCTGGCTGATTTTAATGACCTTCTTTGTGTCGAACACAGGAACCTCTCGCCTCTTAACGACCCAGCAGACCCTGAACGGAACTGAGAATGAAGCTAGCAACTCAACATCATTGGGGCTAACGCCATCACCATCGACCCCCCCAACAACCCCAGCTATAACCATGGTAACAGAACTGGAGTTAAGTTATCTCACGGATGTAGTTCTGACCATCGGGCGGTCTTAAGTCCTCTCATTGCAAAACACAACATCTGGTGAAAACTAAAGGCCCAGCTGTGATTGGAGGAATTCATATCGCCCGCCTCCTTTCAGTTCAGAGTTTAGACTCAGATCGTCAACTGAGAAACGAGATTAATAATTGGTTTGGTCCAAACTTTAAAGTAACATCTATAACATTATCAGCTCATGTTACAGGATGCCACTGTTCTCAGCTACTACCACTCTGAATTTTAGCTCAATCCCTGTAAAATTAACTGAATTAAGACCATTTTTGTTTTTTCTAATGTCAGTCAGGTGTGGGAACCGTCTTTAACTGCGCTGACTCCAAATGTTACTCAGCTATAGATGTTTTTATTTTCAGGTTTTATTAAATCTCAGGGTTCTTGAGATGTTTGGAGACAGACGGACATGAGTAAAAACATTATTGTCTAACTTCACCTTGTGGCAGCGCGTGATAAAACTCTGTACATGATGGTAACTTTAACATACAATTTTACATATTGCAGGACATTTATAGATAAAAAACTTTATTTTGAATTTACTTCCTGTTTTGGTTTTATTATAGCTCACTACCAAAAGACGTAATGATGATGTTTTTGCCTGTAGGTTATCAAAATATCTCATAAACCAACATCAGTTTTTAACGAAAGTTTCTCAAAAAATATTTTTTGCGTACATCTACAACTCTACAAAATGATAAAACTTTACATTCTAAGCAAATAGCAGCTGAGCTACATAACTTGCTGAGGAGGTTATCATGGAGAGGTACAAAGAAGACAGGAAGTGGCATGAAAATCAACAATGAGCGACAGGAGATGGAGAGCAAACAAACTAAAGAGGCTGGGGCTAACCAAGAGATAGCTGCGACTGAGACTTAATGGAATGGGGAACAGGTGTGGGCGGGCGTGGCAGGACTGAGGAGCAGAGACTGACTGTGTAAAAGTACTGGGACACATGAACAGGTGGAACAAAGGAACAGTATCAAATGCAAAAACCACAAACCAGCAGATGAACACGGGTTTAGGCCGAAGTGATCGTTCTAACTGTGATCTTTGTCGTTTCCAGTCTACAGAAGATTTAAAACCAACGAGTGCATCAGGCTCAGGAGACAAAAAGATCAAGGTCACCTCCGCTCCCACAACGACGAGCGCCGCTTCAGCTGGCGGTTCATCCAAAGCAGGTAGTTCAGCTGCCTCGTGCACGCAGCATGCTTCACTTTGTCTTCCTGTGCGTGGAACCACAATCCCTCGCACGCTCGTGCTCTCTGTAACTGTGAGCTTCAGCCACAAGAGAGGCCTGAGCTTTAGACTCACAACAAAAAGAAACTTTACTGCCCTCGACCAAGAACAGTTCCTCTGACAACACACTCATACTGGGTTCGTTGACGGGGAAGAACTCACTGAAGCCCATAACCAGTTCTTCTTCAGCACACGGCTAGAAAACCGGTCCGTGCATTTGTCACATCTAGACTGGACTATTGCAATGGTTTGTTATCTGGGTGTCCCAATACGTCTTTAAAACGTCTTCAGTTGATCCAAAATGCTGCTGCCAGAGTCTTAACTGGAGATACTGGGAGAGATCTCTCCAGTTTCAGCTTCTCTCCACTGGCTCCCTGTCAAATCCAGAACTGAATTAAATTTCAAAATCTTCTAACCTACAAAGCTCTCAACAACCTAGCTCCATCTTATATTACAGCTCTTATTGCTCTTAAGCTGCAGGGTTGTGGTTGAGTTTCCAAAAGCAGAATGGGAGGAAGAGTTAAAACGTTGTTTTTGCTTGTGGGATTCTTCAGAATGGATCAGTTAATCTCTGGTTAATCTCTGGTGCACGTTTGCTTCATCACTGATGTACCAGCCAGAGCTTCAATGAGCTTCGTCTGAAAACAAACGAAACGTGACTAATATCCTGACATGTACAAAACATTCAGAGCACACTGTAAAAAAGAAGAAGATATGTTTGACTGTAAACCCAGCTGGTCTTATTATGCATTAAAGATGTTTGTTGTGGTTTTTAGGTGTAAACTCTGGAAAAATAACAGGAAAGAGGAATAAAATATACCTGAATGTATTCTAGTGCCACCTAGTGGCTGCTCTAGGTCTTAGAAACTACTTTGAGTCCAGATTAAACTTTAAAACTTCTCACAATGTTTTTCTTTTCAGGGTTAGCGGTCCTGGTGTTGATCATCCTCATCATCATTATTCTGTGCATCATCCTGTTAAGGCTCAGGAGGGCGTCCAGGGTGAGACCGGAATAAAACCTTTTGTTTTAATCTGTTTTCCCTTCTCTAAACTGAACACATGCAAGATGATAACGTCATGTTAGCTCGTCAAAGTTTGGGTAGAGACCCTACTGTGGGTCACAAAACACCAAGAGAAGGGACCCGTTTATATCTACAGGAACTATATATGATAAAGTAAAATAAAAACAAAGGTCATAAATGAAGCTAAAGATCTTGCATTTCCTGCAAAGCTGCCGTGTGAATGCTTGTTGTGAAAAACTTGCTGAAAAACAGCTGAAATTTAGCTGAAATGGAAGAACCTAAATTAGCAGAAGAAGCAGAAAGAACACGTATTTGCTGAATTAAGGTTAAATAAGCCGAAATGAGCACAAAACTAAGAAATTAGCTAATAAAGCTGATTTTTTGTTTTTTTTGCTGAAAAGTAGCTGAAAAGGCAAAAAGAAGCTCAAGATAGAAGCAGTAAGAACTGAAATGGGCTAAAAAAAACTGTGGGATTAGCTGAGAAAGCTAAAATTAGCATTAAAAAAGGCAAAGCTCAATAGTTTAGCTGAAAGAGCAGAAAAAATCTGAAAGGAGCATAACAAGCTGAAATTAGCTAAAAATGCTAAAAAGTTAGCTGAAAAGTTAGAACAAGTTTAAATGAGCAGAAGAAAGCAGAAAGAACACGTTTGCACAGTTTTGCTGGAAGAAAAAGAAACGACCACAAAAAGTGAAAGTTATCTGCTAAAAGCTGAATTAAAACAAAACAGCTGAAAAGTAGCTAAAACAGCAGAAAGAAGCTTACATTACCAGAATGAAGTGGGGAGAGCTTAGTTTTGCTGAATTAGGTAGAAAAAAGTTGAAATTATTGCAAAAAATCTGTAATTAGCTGAAAAAGCTAAAATTAGCCTAAAAGCAGCTGAAGAGTGGCTGAAATAGCAGAAAGAAGTTAGAAGAAGAACAAAAATGTTGTAGTTAGCAGAAAGAATCTGAAAGGAGCACAAAACAGCTATAAAAAACAGCTGAAATGAGCTGATAGTAGCTGAAAAAGTTGAAATTTGCTGAAAGAAGCTGAAGCAGAACAAAATGTGAAAGGAGCAGTAAAAGGTTGTGAACAGATTTAAAGATTTGAAGGAGGTAAAATGAGCTCAGTTCATTTTCTATGAAGAAAAAAAATGGCAGAAAAGGCTAAATATTTCAAACAGCTAAAGTTGCACCAATACCAAAAGTCCTGGATCGTCCTGAATGAGCCGAACATTTTGATTCACGATTTGCTGAAATAGAACAAAAAATGTGGAACGAGGAAGAAGCTGAAAAACGTACAGAAGAAAACTGGATCACAGTCGAGAGAATTCTTCACGAACATTCAGACAGTTGTATAACAAAAGTTTAGTTATTTCCATAGAAGCAACCAAGAATATTTGGGTTGCAGGTCTTTCTTCTTATTTTGGGGGTCGCGGGTTTGGTTCTAAATGTTCTCTTTGGTTTTCCAGACGCACTCGTTTGATCTCCAGGGTTTCGGACCCTCCCGCCGTCTAGACGAGCCCACCGGAACCTTTGGACGAGTCTACGTGGACGACCTCGGTGGGTTTCTGCAGAATCACAGTAAATACGTTTAAAGGACGTTCACAACAGCCTCAACAAGGTGGTGCTTTGGTTCTCTTGTTATTTTTCAGGTCGACACGCTCCAAAAGACGTAGAGACGACCGAAGAGCTGACGACCACACCAGCAGCCAACGGCACAAGTCCAGAACCGGTGGAAAAGGGCCCCAGTGAAGAGAATGGTACCAGTGGTATGAAGTTTTTAATGAAGGATTGAGGAAGTTTCCAGATTGTTCAGTTGGATAGTTGCAACATGATTATTTCTCTTTAACTGGTTTCCATAATAACCATGTCCCATCATCCATCCATCCATCCATTATCTTTACCCGTTTGTTCCATTTTGGGTCACGGGGGTCGCCGGTGCCCATGTCCATCAATCACTGTGCGAGGGGCGGGGTACACCCTGGACGGGTCGCAAGTCCATTGCAGGGCCTGTCCCATGATCATAAAGTCTTATTTTATCTCTGGAGGACCAAAGCCTTCACCTTGTCATCTGGTTTTCTCCTTTAAGTGGTTCCTCGGGAGCAGCCAGGAACAAGCGAGGTGCAGAACTCACCCTGCAGCAGCTTCGGCTCATCGCTGGAGGACGAGCGAGCTCGGACGACCTCCGTCAAGCTGAGCAGCAACAACTTGTTCCTCGACGCGGCCGAGGAGCAGCAGCAGAACGAGAACAACAACAACCCAGGTGAGGTCCAGCTCCCGAGCCCAAACTTAAACTGCTCGATCAGAACCAGCAGAGGAAACAGCTGAGGTGAAGATGGTCCGTGGGGCCGTCTTGACCCAAGGGCAGCAGGAGGGTGGAGTCATTAACGCTCCACGTCATAAAGAGCTTTAGTTTATCTGATGGTGACTGTGAACAACAAGAGGCTGACGTGCAGTTGTTGTTTAAACACCATCATCATCATCATCATCATCATCATGATCTGGTATAAAGGGAGAGTTCAAACAACAATGTATAAAAATAAACCAAAAGTTATGAAACATGACTCCAAATAATCAAGAGCGTCCGGATGTATTAACAGATAAAATATTAATTTATTAATGTTGACATTATTGGCCAATAAAAACTTTAATTTTATATCCTCCCAGGAAAACAGTCACATATTTTCAGATTATTATTGTTAAAGTCTGCAATAAGAAATTATGGCAGACGTGGGCTCATTTTTTGGACTTTTTGTTTTTAAACCCTGCTGCTGCCCTTGGGTCAAAATGACCCACAAGGTCTCAGTTTTAAGACTGAAGCCTCATGATCCATTTGATGGTTACGTTTGTTTCAATATGAACCAACGCATCAGATTATTGGGAATCAGATCAATTTGAGATTTCCTGTTTCTGGACTCGTTGTTCCCAGTGGAGTCCAGTCCTGGTCCTGGGGGGCCTCTATCCTGCAGGTTGTAGTTGTGTCCCTGCCCTTGAGCAGGTCCTCAAGTCAGTTCATCAGTCAGTAACTCAGACCAGGTGCGTCAAAGCATGTAAAACATGCGGGGTGGGGGCCCCTGGGGGCCAGGATCAGACACCACGGCTCTAAACGGACCTTGAACGTGTGACATTAAAAGAACAAATGTTAAAACACATATATATATATATTAAATAGATGTTTTTTCTTCTCTGTAGCAGTCGGCTCCAGCTCCCCGTTTGTTGAGATCGACCTGGACGAGCCGGCGTGGTGCGACCAGCTCCTCACTTCTCCTCCACCCTCGTCCTCAGTCTGCTCCTCCTCTTCCTCTTAGCACTTTTTACACGACGACCCTCAACATCAGAACAAAACAAAAAGAGTTAAAGATTTTCAAACAGAACATAAACAGGAAGTGCCTTCCTGCTAACTTGAAACGAGCTGTAAAGTTAGCTTTAAGCTAGCTTGAAATGTTTTTTTAATTATTGTTATAAAGTTCTATTTACAAATGATGTTACGTCTAGGCCTGTCGCGATAAACAATAAATCAATTAATCTCATGATAAATGAAAATGATCAACCTCATTTTCATTTATCTGCTTCATCATTTCTTCATGTCTCTCTCTTTCTACTGAAGACACTGGATGAGAAAAGGTTCAACTCCGGTTCTTCACTGACCCCTCCCTTTCTCTTTAAAATCAGTTTTAACGATCCAAAATAACATTTTCGGATCATTTAAAGCAGCTAAGTTGAGAAGCTAAGCTACAAGCTAACAGGCCGACCTCAGGAAAAAACCTCCGTCTTGTCGAAGCTCCAAAATTCACAGTTGAAACCCGTGCCTTCGTGTAAACAGTTGTTTTTCTCTGGAAAAAGAAGCTGAGAACTTGTTTACTGATTTTTTATCAAAAGCTTTGTGTAAAAAAAGCTAAAGAGCTCAAACCACACTGAGCGTCCGCCATTTTGAGAACCGAAAAAAA